CCCAGAATTCCCCAGCCAGCATTCGCTGGCTGGGGAATTCTGGGAGTTGAAGTCCAGACATCTTCAAGTTGCTAAGGTTGAGAAACACTGTTCTAGTCCAACCCCCTGCTCAGGCAGGAGGCCCTGTACCATCCCAGGCAAAGGAGGAGGAGAAAGGAGCCCCGGCAGGATCACCGTGTGCCTGGAGACGGCATTGGAAGGCAGTGCCAGGCCAGGTTCAGCCCCCTGTTGCGGCCTGTCCTGCCTGCCAGGGAGGGGAGGGGGGGAGGCTCTACCGGGATGTATTCCTCCAGGCGCCCCTGTGGGAAGATGCCATACAGCCGTGGTCCCAGGGCCCGCTCGGCCAGGATGGCGAACATCACACTCTCCAGAACCAGCGAGTCGACCCCCTGTGGGAGAGAGAGAAGGGGGGGGGGAGAGTTGGAGGGGCTCCAAAGTAAACCTGGGCCTGAGCTGCCCAGCCGGGCTCCAGCAGGCCAGGAGCCAGAAGCCTGGAGGCTCTTGGGCATCCCCAGACCTGCAGTGAAACAGTCCTGAAGGGGGCGGTCAAGCGGTCATCAGTCCACTGAAGCCAGTCTGGGAGAATCCACTACCCAGGAGCGGCTGCTTCAGCTCTTCCCTGCCAGGGGAGCCCACGGCCGGGAGGGAGGGAGATGCGCAAAGTGGAGGCGCACAACCACTTGTGGCAAAGCCAGAACGGCCCTCCTTGGGCGGCCATACCAATTTTCTTAAGTACAGGTAGTTCTCAACTTATGACCAAATGCATGTCGCTAAATGAGAAATTTGTTAAATGAGTTTTGTCCCATTTTACGAACTTTGTTGCCAGAGTCGTTAAGTGAACCACTGCAGTTGTTAAGTAAACAACATTCCCTCTTGACTCTGCTTGTGGGGACATGAGCCTGGGACATGGCAACCGTCATAAATGTGAGTCAAGCATCCAAATGTACATCCCTTGACCACGGGGATGCTTCAATGGTCATAAGTGTGAAACATGATCATAAGTCACTTTTATCAGTAGCTCACCTGGAGGATGACGCCGTAGACGCGGAGCAGGACCTGGCGTGGCTCCTCCTGGGCGGAGGGGATGTGGTCCGGCAGGGAGCATCTGTAGAGCAGGTTGCTCAGCCCTCCACTGTGGGGGAAGCAGAGACGGGCAGGTTGGGGGGCAGGGGGGGGCTGGTGGGACAGGACACAGGCAGCATCCCAGACTCCTCTCTCTCTCAGGGGGGGGGGCAAGCGAGGGGGCTGGACTGGAGGACCTCCCAGCTCCCTTCCCACTCTGCCACAGGTAGTCCTCGACTTGACAAAGGCCACACTTAGCAACAGGAACCTGGGGCTCCAGTGTGGTCGTAAGGCGAGGACTGCCTGTGTTCTCTGTATGCGTGGCTGTGGCGCCTCTCCCGGGGCCAGGAGGGCAGCTCCTTTAAGACTTCCGGACTCCAACTCCCACAATCCTCCGCTGGAGGGGCTCGGGGGGGGGGGCGCCCTGGTCAAGGGGCCGAGGGGCTCCGGCGGGAGAGACCGGCGCTTCTCCCGGGGGAAGCGGACTCCCAGGGGCGGGGCGGGTGACGTCACGGGCGGGTGACGTCACGGGCTCACCTGACCGGGACGATGCCCAGCTGCTCGGGGGCGGCCAAGCGGCGCCAGGCCCCGGCCAGGAACTCGCGGCACCAGAGGAAGGCGCGCAGTCGGGTGGCCGCGGGGACGGCCGGGGAGCCGCGGGGCGAGCGGGGCGCTGCTCGGTCTCCATCCGGCCCGTCTCCCTCGGGCGCCTCCATCGCCAGCAGTCGACC